CTAGTGATGATAGCTAAGCTGGGAGTTCTTGGCATTGCCTGGTGTTTGAATTTCTTGACCAGGATAGTCCTTACTGCCATCTACCCTTGGCAGACAAGGCTAGTTGTTTTCTTAATCCATTTACTCAAAGTTTTCTGTCTTAGAATTAACTTCTAATTTTTATCTGTCATAACCTCATTGCTGATTTCAGATCTTGCATGCCGCTATCCCAGGCTAAAGACATTAAGAAGTTGTGACTTATTGCCTATTAGTTGGATATCTGTTGCATGGTAAAGTTGATATGTTTTTTCAATTATTGACTCTTGTATTATATGATTATTCATTTGCTTGTATTGTTGTTTTTGTATCTTGTAGGTATCCTATTTACCGGATCCCAACCGGTCAAACATTAAAGGATTTGGACGCTTGCTTTCTAACCTACCATTCCCTTCCACAACCATTGAAGGTAATCATGAACATTTCATTAACTTACCATTCCCTTTCCACGAGTTTAATTTCTAGTGCAGCCACATTCTTTCCCTGTACTGTTTGATTCTAATTCTCTTTATTCTTTTCTTTCATGGATATTTTTGCATTTCCATTTGAAGTTCTACTCCTATAATATATTACACTACTTTAAGGCAAAAAATCAGAACCTTGATAAGGTGAATTGAAACTTGGTACATGATTCTGGCACTAGAGTACTAATATTTACTGGTTCCTTCAAGTCCCATATCTATGTATTCACTTCTTTACAGCTTGATCTTCTGAGATTTGTTTGACATGTTTTGTATCTTCTGTGCTCTTATTCTCAGGCCTTTTTCGTCCCCTGTTTGCTACTCATTTTCTTCTCCATTGATCCTTCAAAATATATCCTAATTTGCTTGTTTTTTCATGTTTGTCACATCACATGTATTTAATCATAAACGCATATAATATAGAATATAATTTATTAAATACAATTTTGAAAAGTTCACTTCTACCTTCTTGATTGCATCTTTGCCATTACAGTGAAGAATATTATTAGTAACAGTAATACTATTACCATGATTTGAGAATTGCATTTCAGAATGCATCCTTTTGAAATGCTGGCTAGTATTTTGTTCCTCTTTTTCTTGTCTTTTTTTCTCTAAAATTGATTCAATAGATTGACCTTTTATTTGACTTTTGCAGGTAATGGAAGTAATCATTCACCAATTTTAGTCTATCCTAATGAACAGGATGGTATCCCGAAGGTTTCCTTACCTGCTTTTGGAATGCCTTCTTATAAATTCAAAGGATCCATATGGACGCCAAATGGTGTAAGCGAGCATCAACTCAGAAATTCCCTCACTAAGGCTGCTGAAAACTGGCTAAGACTGCTCCAGTTCATTCAGCCTGATTTTCAGTTTTTTGCTTCACATGGAATCTACCACAGGTGAAATTGGATATGCTCATGTTTTAACTTTCTCTTCCATACTGTAAAAAAGTACTACAGAAAACTTGGATGCTTAGTTTGTGGTCAAACTGAGGTTAAATGCCTCATAAGTTTTGGGGTAGGATGCTATTTGAGGGAAATATGCCTGATGTGTATTTTCCTGTTACTCTGAAAAACAAAAAGACAGGAAAAAGGTGGAAAAATCAGATTAAATGTGATAAAAGAGGACAGCTTAACATTAAATACAGACTGAATAAGTCATGTCATTAGAGGAAACAAAATAGACTTAGAAGTTACTGCAGCAGATGAATGAGCAAGATGATATGTGGGAGTTAGCCACATGGTTGAAAAAATGCTTCTACAAACTGCCAGGCAGAGTAAAATCACCTGCTTCTCGAACTCCATATTTACTTTATTACTGTGTTATACAAAAGATGAATAGGCATTGTTACATGTTTTCCTAGAGATGATTATATGCATGGTTGATGTAAAAGAAAGCTAAACTTAGGCTGTCCTTTTGATATGGTAACTTATGTGTTGTTTATTAGTAGAAAATAAGAAGGAAAAATGAGGACTATGATTTGACTTGCATGAATGTTGCATATTTAATTGGCATGTTTAATGTATTTTTGGGTATGAAACTCGTAGATATACTCACGCATGCCTATGTCCTGTGCTCATTGATGTCAAGATGTTTTCTAAATAATGATAAATTTGATTTTGCTGAATCTGTTGTGATTGAAGACTTGAATGGAAAGCGTACATTGAAGTAGAGAAGATTCGGGTTACAATTGTACTATCAGAAAATTGGTTACAACTGTATGTGATCAGTCCTAGCCTTTAGAGAAGTGATGAAGAAGTAGTGGAGTTTGTGGCACAAGCGGTTGCACAGCTCCCGTTGCAATTAGATAGATTGAAGCCTAAAGATCATGGTGAGGCTCTTGCAGTTCTGTAGGTGGTGATAGTCTGCCAATGTCATTCCTAGGCTTCTGCAGCTGTGTGCTTGTTTGAAGCACATATGTTCTGAAATTTGAATCTTGCATCTGTTAAAGAAGCTTCTTGATCCTGAGTAAAACAATCTTCAGGTCTCCTAAATGGATACTCAATGTGGTCTTGGTAGAGCCACAATGTCATTCATAATCAACTTTTCGAAGGCTTCTTCTTTTTTTTCTTTTTTTTTTCTTTTTTTTTTCACTCAATGAAATAAACTTTTGAAAGGGTTTGCTCAATTCAATTAAATATGACATTTACTCAATATTAATAGGGTTAATAAGTGGTTTTTGTTTTATAAAACTCTTATAGAA